AAAACATTTTTCAAGCAGTCCTTTTCACTGATAGCTAGGATGAACTAAACTGCCACCTCAGCTCCCTTGTAGAAGCTAAAGGGACATGATGCTCTACAAGAAGATTCTGCTTTGCTTTTTACCTCCTAGTACTGAAGGTAACTCCTGCTCCTCAAAGGAGGCGGACTGGAGAAAAAAAAACAGAACTGAAGAGGGTGTGCTGCAGGAACAGGGCAGAGCTCTTCCTTGCTGTCCATTTAAACTCAGCTTAATGGTGAAGGTACCTCACTAGGAGTGAATTTGTAGTTTGGGCTTGGAAAGGACAGTAATTTTTCATTCCACTGCACAGTCTGATCAAAAACGGTATGGAAACTAGAACATTAATTCCCAAATTGGGTTCCGAAAGTCACTGACAGCCCATGAAGCCACGATGGGCAGCAGCTGACCCGCAGGAGATGACTGTAAAAATACTTCAGCAGGGTGGTGAATAATTTTTAACTGATCATGTTTCTGGTCCCAGCATATGTGAGAACTAAAGAATGAGGGTATTTAGTTACGCAAAGCAGGAGCAGTTGAGCTAGGAGGGCACGAGATCAAAGTCTCAATGGGCAGTGAGGCAAACAGCAACGCAGTAATTCATACCCCAATAACTGAACAATAAACAAACTGCTACATTTTATCCACAGATACGTAACAGAAACCCATAAATGGGCAGTTTCTTGCTCTCTACAGAAGAACAGCCTGAAATTTCAAGCCTTCTCTTTAACTTTTTCCTCCTAGGTGGCAGCGGCCAGTCTTTCTTCTTAACCCAAACCCCGTTGAGTTTGCCCATGCTAAGCTGCGCATATTTTCAGTAGGTTCTGTGTTACCAAATCCATGTGTTCTTCTTCAAAGTCCTTCACTGCACTTTGCACCGGTAAGCACCCTGTGAAAGCAGTTCACAGCTTTGTTGCTACTGGCCAACTTCCTTCTAAAATGATTTAAATGTTCGTAAGAAGTAACCCTGAATTGCTGATGGAGCAGGAAGACAAACTCCCTTTGAAGACTGCTTCCCTGGTAGAGCACCAAATTTTTTGTATTTCTAGAGCTGCTAAGAAGGTAAATACATAAACATTTTCTTTTTTTTTTTAATTTATTTTTAGAAAAATCACAATATTGATAGGATGTTTTAATAAGTAATGGTTAGGTTTGCAAAAGCTGAAGAAGGATTCGAGAGTCTGGTTAGCTAAAAGCTAGTTTGAGCTTCCCCTGCCATTCTATCCCTAACAAACACTGGCTTATTTCTGTTTTCTCTACAATTGGCGTTGACATGAGATACCTGTTTATTCATGCAGGTAAGCAGTACATTTCATTTCTTTGTATTTACATAGATCAAATGTTTATATAAAAATCAGTTTTCCACCCTCCAACACACTTAAAGATTTTAGCACTTTTATACTAAAAGCAGAAGTGGGGCAAACAGAAGTTTACAAATTAATTCCATAACAAAATAGTAAAATCTATGTAAAGCTTTGTTGCAAGCTAAGAAACATGTACATGAAATTCTTAAATGAATTATCCTTGGCATACATTCATATTTGAATGCACAGATATATTTACATGTTTAATATCCAAATTCATAAAATGTCATCTTTCTGTAGAACTTTGCCAGGTGGCTGCAGCACATTAGTAAGACACATACTGTAAAACTGCAAGAAGATTGGAACCAATTAGAATGAAAGCCAACAGAACTGGTCAGACTATTCCTTCCAGACAGAACTGGTTATTATTCCAGACTTAGTCCTTTGACTGTTATGAGTTGCACAGTTTTCCGTGTTTCCACAGATCCTTGAAACCTTCCTGTGGCTTTCAAGAGCCACAGCAAAGCTCACCAGTGCTTTCAGTTGAGAATGCAATCACAGGTCCTCATCCCGATGGCAATCCTTCACAAGTCCAAAAGCATTCTTCACATGTATGCTATTTATACTGTTCAATGGATGCTTGTGGAGTGAGGCTAGGTTGTACTGGTCAGACTCGCCATTACGTATTTTCGAATTGTAGTACTGTTTCTGTCTTTTAAGTGCGTAAGATAAGCCTTCTGAATTCAAACTATCACATTATTTTCTGTTACGTTTTTGGTTCTGGAAGTCTGAAGATGTTAATCCCCACTCCACAATACTTCATCCACAACTGTTCAGACAACTGCCAAACATCAATCTCAGCAGATGTACAAAATCTAATTATGGTTCTGATTTGCAAATGAGGCTTTTCCACATCTGACCAGCTCAGTACTTGCTAAGCAGGAAGGGCCAGAAAGGATGAAGGGTCTCTGTGCACTAGTTTGGGTGTTCTGAATCTGTACCAGACAGATGCAACCAAAAAAAAAAAAAAAAAAGCAAAAACAACACTGAATTTTTGTCTCTTGGATGCTCAAGAATAAGTATCCCTTCCCTGGTGGCTGACCCAGGCAGCTATGCAGATTGTATCAGCAGTACCCACACCCGGATCCATTATCCACACACAGTGAGCCATTTGCTTTCAGATGCCCACACCACACATGAAGTTGTTTGGTTGGTACGCTCACTGTGTACAGGATATTAAAAAAATGTTTGCACTGCCTGAAAGCAATGGTGTAACAAAACACTAATTGCTTATTGTTTTTGGAGAGGTAAGGAAAAAGTTAAACCATACTGAATGCACTTGAGACACACCCATTTGTCACAGGAGTACAGGAGAGAATGTAAAGGCACAACATACTCCTACACTCCTGTCATTAAGGCCATACATCGGTGTGCAACAATGCTTCACAGGGCTAACCATACAGAAGTACTCAGGTCTAAGTCACACTCCTAGAGGTGTTTCACACAAGAACTGTTTTCTCATGCAACTTCAGACTCTGCTTTTTTATTATGCTTTTTTTTTGTTTCCTTTTTTTTTTTTTTTTTTTTTTCAGGCAGAATGCAGGCTCTCTATCCAGTTTCAATGGTCTGTTCTTCTTCATGGTTTTTTTTTAAATTTAGTTCTCCAGAAGTGTGCGCTGAACTAAAAAGTGAAAAACAACTCAAGATTAGTACAGTAAGTTAGTATACATGTTATGTATTATTATGTAACAGTACATACAGACAACAGACTTTTTCAGTATGCATTTGAAACTGTGGGATAAATTCAGGTAAGCAGAGGCTTGATTCTGTGTAGCCAATACCCTGCATACCAAAGGATATCACATCCCAGATTTCTCCCTCAAATAACCACATCCTACTAGATCCATGTAGCTCTATACACTTGCAGTACAACACCGCATGCAGCTGCAGACTTGCAGCTTTGCGGATGCAAAAATGAAATGGAGTACAGTCTGTGCAGCTGATGGAAAAAGCAGGTCATTGAAAGAAAGTGCTAGGCTAGGTTATCTACATTTTCAGGAAGTCAAAGATAAGTCTCCATAAAACTTTCAGAATGCAAACCTGTTCTGCCTTGCCATCTGACCTGGCTGAACGCAAGACTGCTTCTAACTAGAAGCCACGTAGATACATCAACACTGTATTACTAAAAGCAGAGCTAATGTCTGCTGACTCCCAGAACTTAGATCACGAGCAGCACCATGCTGACCATGGTTGCCCTGTTTGTTGGCTCAAAACATGCTCATGCCTGCAAAATATAACAGAGGTATGAAATTGGGGATTTAACATGACATCAATATGTAGGCAGGAGTAATTATTTATGATAACATCCCAGGTTTGACTTTATCAGTAAAATAAAGTATGCATCATCTGATGCATTTCACACTTGAGTACTGATGAATCTTGGCCAAAAATTTAGCCTATCCTGATTTTAACTCATATGTTAACTGTCTTTGGTAGAGGTCTTTGAACAATACTGCGTGCTTCACTAATGCAAGGCAGATATCCTCAATTCAGGTTATCTCCAGTCCTGACTTCAACAGCCAGTCACAAGAAAATGTTTTCTCCTTGAGAGTTTTATATATTTAACGGCTTAAAGAAAAAATGTTTATAAATAGGATCATGAGCCAGATGGAAGTTTTTAGCAAACTGATGAAATACCGGAAAGAAAAAAGGTGGTGTTTTTTTTGTTTGTTTGTTTTTCTTAAATTATAAAAAAACAGAACTAGTTCTGCAGGGTTAGATTGAGCTCACAGAAGAGTATATTGCAAAGTTATATTGCTTTGAGATTTTAATATTCAGTTTCAGCTGGGTGTTTCAAAGACACCCAACAAATTTCAGCATGAGAGTGCACTGCTTCTTCCTTTGTTGACCAGGCACAAGGGCTAGAAAGCCAAGTTTTCACCTATACTGTTTCCTCCAGATCTGTCTATGGTTTTCCTGGAAATAATCACCTGTTCCATTGGCCAAGTAGCCAAGACAACCATACCTGGAAGGGTGAGGTTGTTAGGGTTTTTGTTGCTTTAAAAGAGATCCTTCTGCAGCTGTCACCATTGCAGAAAGATTTGTTATTTGATGATTCTTTCATACAAGAATCATTCTCTATTCACAACAGAGAATGTTTTAGTTACAACAACATGCTCGTAAGTTCAGTTCTCCTTGCCTACAATGTAGTTTCATCTCTGCCCAAACACTATTAACAATTTTTAATATGCATTCTTGCAGAGGTCTATATGGGTTTACAATAAAAAAAGGTATCAGATTCCAATCAGACACAATATAGACTAATAAAATGTCTGTCAGCTAATTGAAGTTTTGTATCACACTAAAGGAGCAGGCCTGTGTTTTCATAATTGTCTGTAGTAATACTTTTGCAGAGAAAATTCAATTCTTTACTTTCTTTAAGCTCCTGTATTTCAAGGACTCCTCAAGGCAATAAACCAATCTGTTCAAAGCATAAAAAACTAGAGAATAGTGGCCATATCGGAATTGAAATCTTGATTCAGTTCTAAGTTAGTTGCCAATGTTACAAACATTTTTTTTTTTTTTGAAACAAAACAGAACAGTGCAAGTAATTTTCTCCACTATGTTAGATGTCAATAAAGTGCATTTAATAGGATCCCCACCAAAAAGTTGATCTTCCATCTAGATTCTTCTCTTACCAGGTGGCTCAGATTGCGCTCCCCGATGGCTATCCATATTCACATTCTCTTCATCTGTTGGGAAACAAAGACGTTTAGCATTGAATTTCTCTTATCTTCAAAGTTGTTGATTAATACAGATAATTCGAGAGAAGAAACAGCACTGAAGAATCTGGGCTACTGATAGTAGTACAGTGGTGTCTGGCTGGATTGCTGCCCTATCATCTCCCTTCACCAACCAGTCAGAAAGACTAGAAAGGACAAAACCAAAGTTTCTGCCCCACCTATCACCCACAGTACTCCCCAATTTCTCTGATCCAAGTTAAATCTTATTTAGGTGGAAAGGAAATGGATAGCAAGCAATAGACGACTGCAGAAGAAAGAATAATTTTGGGATGAACATCCAAGTAGTCGTCAGAAACCTAATATGTAGGCAAGCACCTTGTGAAGACGCAAAGGCAAGATGTACAAAATTGGAATGACAAGGTATTTTCCAGCATGAAAATAGTCTCCAATCCCCACATTCCACTCATTTTTCCTTAAAGAAATGTTTTCTTGCAGTCTGTCCTGCTTACCCTTTAGCAGGAAGTGCTTTTATTTTAAGAAATGCAAAGCCTTAAGTCTGTCTGCTTCTGAAAATCTAAATTTTGGGCGAGGCATTGTTCAGACACCGTGTCTTAAATGACTAGTAAGAGAGGTTACTCCTTGTGAACACAAATTCACTCTGCTATTAAAACTATGTTATGCATAAGATCAATTTGTAGCCCCCATATAAATACAAAACTGCAGCTTTTTAGACAGTAGAAAACAATCTAATTTAGAATTCTTACCGCTTTGTTTGAAACAGAGTTTCTTCTTCTGGTAAGCAATGAAACTAGAAACTGCTCCGATTACAGTAGCAACCACAGCACTTACAATTCCAGCTATTGCTCCCTGATTAGCTGAAAAAAGAGGTTTGTATACATTTTTCAGAATCGAAAGCAATGTCAAACTTTTATTGTCTCAAAGTAAACCCTGTGAATACTTCCAAAAAACAATAAACTGAAATTATTACATGAAACTGTAATAATCAACTCTTTCTGTCTTTGTAAATAATGAAAAGCAAACCCTCTAATTTTATAACCTTCGATTTCTTAGCAATGCCTATTGTTAAACAAATTAAGCATGCCTGTTATAAGTTCCACTAATTAAAATAGCTACCCTTTCATAGCTAAATCTAAGTTGTATGCATGCAATCACTGCACCAGCTTCTCTGAGACCTTAACACTTTCGAATTATTCGCAACATAGACATTTTAAAGAATTATGAAAGCAGAGCTTGAAAGTAAGAATTCTAGATCCCACAAAAGTTTTTAAGCTGAAACCCACTACCAGCAGCAAGCATTCTAGGAGAATATTAGCAACGCAGAAAAACCCAGAAAACAAGCTTCAGACAGGCAGACACCATCATACACATAAATTTATGCATTTACCCTCAGATTCATCAGCATTATTTGGACTTGGACCCTTTCGTTCTGTAAAAATGAGCAAAAGGTTTAGGTTTTACATGTCTAAAGAACAGTCATATCATAACCGACAACTTTTTTGTCAATTAATCATGCAAAATTACAAGCCATCTATTATATCCATACAGTACTAAGCTCTCTGGCACTCAAACTTTCTATTTTCAAAGCACAGATCATAGTGATGCCAACTTCAGCCTTGGGTGCTCCACACTTCTACAAAGTGAGCACAGCACACCTGTGAAATCTGGTTTAATCAACTTGCCCACTACCACAGAATACTCAGTGGAGAGAACAGCACATAATTTCAGAGTGATGTTCAACTGTATTTCCATGGAACCAACTATCTTTTCCTAAAATCCCAGCCTCATTTACTAAATATTTTTGCAATTCTCTTAGCAAACAAGACAGAAGTTCTGTAAATGCTATCCTTATTTGGCACTATGTGACTTGCACCACTGAAGCAGGAACCTGTGCAGATGAAAACACCAGACAAGTCTCAACAGATGCTTCTTGCCCCTGCCAATTTTCAAGTTACTGCCCCAAAGGAACCTTGGAAGGTGAAAGCTTTGCAAAAAATTAGCATCACTAATCTCTGTCTGGGACAACTCTCTGAACAAGTCAGTAACCAGCAGCACGTCTCAACATCACATCAGGATACCTAACCTAACTCTGACCTAGAAACAGTGAAGTTGCAGTAATGCACACAGGGATGACTAACCCCATCCTAAGGATGGCCATTACTGCAGCTTGGTCCCAATGACCACCTCTGTACTGAGCTGTGCCGTAACAATCATCAGCCACGGCAGATTACTCAAAACAAGTTTGTTCTTTGTACTGCTCAGAGTAGATATAACCTACATCACTCAGAAGTCTAAGGATCAATTCCTCCTGTGGGACAGATGAAATCTTTGAAAGAACAAGGTAGACCCTCTTCTGACCCACCCCTGGGCTTCCTAATGACAAGAACTAAAAGAAACTGAGAGTATGTCACAGATCTGAAAATAACACCTGAATGCCTTTAAGAACTATATTCATGGTGAATTTTGAAATAAGTTCCACATCCGCATCGCAGTTTTAAAACTCATCTTTCTTAGAATAACAGTGTCAATCATCGAAGGTTCCTAGACCAGTTTTACCTCTTAATTATGTGGGGGTTTTTTGGCAGAGAACACATTGCTTTTGAACTTGAAGGTCTGCTCTTATGTTTCTTATACCAGAACCAAAGGTGTTACAAGTTAGACCACGTTAACCAGCTTGTGAGCAAGCTTTTATCAAAAGCTTAGGTAGCCATAGGATAAATATGAAGCACAACCTATATCTTACCATTGCCACCACTACTATCGCCACCTCCTCCTTTTGGTAAACTGCCATCGAAAAGATCTGAATCATCAAGGTTGCCTATAAAAAATTAAAAATATTATCTTACATGTTTTAAGTTCAGTGAAAAGACACTTCAAGGCACATAATGACATGGAAGTTTTCTCTAGATCGTTCAGCCAAGTTTGTGGTGGTTTCAGGCTCAGCATCAGTGGCAACATGCTCGTGTTTCAAAAGCCCTCCCAATCTCAAGTCCGTTCAGCTCAGCACTGTACAGTTTGATAGCAGCACTGCTGCCTCTGGACTTCCTGAATCACTGAGAGACACCAGTGTCCAAGAGCAGGTAGTACTGCACAAGTCATAGGCTAAGCAAGCAAGAAGCTCTGTAAGCTACTTCAGTGGAACAGCCCAAGTCTCACTGTCCTGTTAAAGCAGAGAAAGGACATGGACAGGAAAGGACTTTCTTTTCAAGGCTGCAGCTGTGAATGTTTCTTCAGTTGGCTTTCTAAGTCACAACCAATCTTTTGAACCTGTATAACACAGTAGCTAGAGGAAAAAAGAAAAAAAAAAGAAGAAAAAAGAAAAAAAAAAAGAAGAAACACAAGAAAAAGTTCAACATGCCAGAGTCCAGTTGCTACAGTATTTGCCTGACAATGGGAAGATCCAAATGTTATTCCCTTGTCTGATTTACTGCAGGACATTGAGCCAATCCCTCTCCATTTCCACTGGACCCTACTTCATGGGGCCTGAGTTCTCCTCCTTCCCTCTGCTGCCAAACAAATCTTTGGTTTATGCAAAGCAAATCTGTTTCAAGCAGCAAAACTAAAAGCATTGCTTCAGAGGATGTTTTAGATGGGTGGCAAAAGCACTGTACTGAGGCATACAAGACCTGAATTCAAATATCTGCTGCAAATCAGGTAGGAGAAGAAACAAGATCCAGGGCTTGCATTTCAGGTAAAGACTCTTTACCACCATATTCCTGGATAATGGCATCATCACAGCCACATCCATCTGAATCTGTTCTGTTCTGAGTTAGGCAAAGACAGAGAAGACCTCTAAAGCACAACAGGCAGGGAAGGACATGTATTTTAAGCCTACCTTTCAAACAAGAAGAACTTAATTTCTTAACTGGGGCCTTTGAAAGAAAATCTAAAACCATAACCCTTTAACTTTGAGCTTTACCTTTAATTTAGGTGCTTCAAGAATATAGTTCACAGGTAGTTCCTAGTGACTTTTTAGCATGACTAGCAGGGGTTCAGTTTGTAAAGATGAAAGGACTCAATCCAATACACAGGTGCTCCACCATAGGCAGCCAAGAACAGAACTGCCCCAAGCACACGCATCCCATCCTTCCTCCTCCCCACACCATCCGGCTTTTAAGTGAAAGGAAAGCGACTCAACAGGTTTGTTATGGAATTTCAAGACTGCTGCAAAGCTTATTTGCAAGACAATTTTTCCTCAACCGTCAGTGTTTATCCAGTGCAACATCTGACATACAAAGCAGCCAATTAACAAGGTATAATTATTGTAAGTTTGAGATAGTAAAACCATGTCATGATTCATGAGTTTGTGCTAGAAGCCTTACCAGTGTCTTTAGGACGTGCAGGTGGACCTTGCTTGGGGTTATCTGCACACAAAAGAGAGAATTAGGAAAAAAAAAAAAAAAAGAAAGAAAAGGTTAAGAGATCAAAAGCAGATTACAACACAGTAACTTTAAAAGGGACTAGGAAAGATTAACAAATGCTCTTTTACCGTTCAGAAATTCTTAGGTCAGTCTTACCAGTGTCTCTGGGATTTGCAGGCGGAGCTGGCTTGGGGTCATCTGTAGACAAATAACAATAAAGTGACCAAAGGTACTAGTGTGAAGAGACCAAAAGCAGAGCATACAGTGACCTTGAAAGACTATCTTCCCGTCTCATTTTCCTTTCCTTTCATTAGCTAATGCTGTATTTGTTTGGTTATTTTAGGTTAAACGCTGTACTTCAATGCAATGTTTCTGCTACATTAGCCTGTATGTCAGACCTTTGCTATAACTGAACGTCTACAGAAGAACTCACTAAGTATTAGGCAGCATTTTGGTTTGCAGATCTGATTTCAAATGCTGAACTTCTTTAAATTTTTCTAGCAGGTACAGATTATTTTGCTATTTCCTCTTTTAAATCTACCAGATTTTAACCAATAATAATGGTCGGTACCTCACTTTCAAAAAAAACAAAAACAAAACCCCAAACAAACCAGCACAACCAAAACACCAAACCAAAACAACCAAAAAAACCAAGATACACATGATAGAGCTAGAAATATGGTCTCCACAATGACACTTCATTTAGCTTGCCACAAAATAGGAGAATAAGAGGTCTTAGTAATTATCTCTGTACTGTTTGGTCACAGACTTTGTTGCCCACTTCAAATTAACACACCAACAGTGGTTTTCTAAAACTCTGTTTTCGCAGATGGCTGAATCAATCCAGTGGCCCATTTCTTCTGTATGCTGCTTCTCCTTGATGTTGCATGGTCTTGCCTCTTCCCAGCTCTAGCACAAGTTGGGTCAGATCTCCTTAGGCTATCTATATATTCAAAGTAAAGAGGCAGGCACCTCCAGAGCACAGTTCTTAGACCCCAACTTAGGCTTGCCATTCTATAAAGGATTCTCTCTCTTCACTTACCTGAACCATCTGATTCATTCAGCCAACTGTTTCTCAATTAGCCAGCTCTGATTTAAAAAACGTCAGCAGTTGGAAACAGACTGCTTTAAGAGACAAAACTTCAAAGGGCTAAATCAAACAGAGCAGCAAACAGTGCTACTGTCCTGCAACTGTATGTCCTGTGTTAGGAAAGCTGTCTATACTGCAATAGGTCTGGCGATGGCACTTGAAAAGCTGCTCTGCGTTATCTGCCTACCTGGATGCACCTTTTACTGGCCGAGTGAAAACAATACTGCAATTTCTACTGCTGCCCACACTGCAGAGCTGAAGAGCATTAGAAAGAGTACCTTCCCTCATACTATTTCAAAGAGCTTAATGTTTCCTTATGCTACTAAAATTACTTCCTGGAAAGGAAGAGATTACTTCAGATTTATAAACTACTTCCATAAGTAATAGTTTATGGAATTAGTGCCATCTAGTGAAGACAGAGCAATGACACAAGTAGGATTTGCTAAGAAATGAGTGAAATGCATACAGTTTTTGTTATCCAGACCCTTAAAAATGAATGTAAATAAACATAACTAGACTGCAATTATTTTTATCTGCAGTCTGTTACCTTAATCAACTCAGTGCCCTTATTACATTTAGGTAATACAGGATGGATAGACAAGTACCACTGAGCAGTATCCAGGAAAACATGATACTTACCAGGATGAAGAGCATGTTCCAAATCGAAATCATCTACAAAGAAAGAAGGGAAGTTTTAACTGTAATGCAAAAACTGAACTAGTTTTAGGCTATTTTTATACAAAATGCACCTCACAATGTTTCACCAAGAGTATAAGGGCATACTCATTCAAGAGTGGCCCACGGAAAAGCACTACAGAGTTACCAGGCATTATCTGCCAAACTACATGCTGCTCTTGCTGATCATGGTACGTGTCAAGGGCCAGCTCAAGGTGAGCAAGCTCAAAACATGCAGATTGAAAGCCAACAGCAGGGATTCTCACAGGGTCTTTAAGCTTCTGAAATCACAAAGTAAATTTGTGAAAACACTAGCAGAAGACTCCAGAATGCAGAAAACCTTTTGCTATTAGGGAACTGCTTTCTTTTATAGAAATATCACAACTCTGTGTGCCACTAAATTGAAAAATTCAGGCTCTCAAATTAGTACGTAAAACTACACTTGACTTCACAGTAAAAGCCATTACAAGCCAAGTAGATCTCACCTAAATTTGGTGGTGGTGGCTTCTGAGATGGAAGAGGAAGAGGCTTCTTTGTCGCTTCTGTCAGGGATGGTTAGGAAAAAAAAAAGTTTAATACACTGTTCAGAAGATACAGGAAGGACAAATGTAAGCACAAGATCAAGTCTACATAGCAAGATACTTTCCCTTTAAGAGGAATCCCTGAGTGTTCCCAAAGGAGTTTCAGTTCTATGTGGTCAACATTTTGACATTCCCATAGCAGAACTGTTCCACTGGGGCTTGAACAAACCATATGCGGGGAAGATGTCATGCTTGGTCATGCAGTGATACTCAGAAACAGACAAGTCAAAAGAGCAGCCACTATTTTCCCGTCTACCTCCCAAAATTTGCAAGAGTGTAATAATTACCAAGTGCATCTTCTAAGTTGAAGTCATCCGAATTGCCTGTAGAAGATGAAAGCAACAGTAAGAACATTGTTTTTTCTTACTCAAAACCAACACTTATTACAGTCATAAACGTGTCTGATCTATCTTGATGTGTGTTTTCCGCTTTCTGCGTTGGACTAGAATAATATTTTCAGTCAGGGCTGAAGACAGACATTCTTCTCTATTTCTCCAGACCACATTCCACGCATCTCTTTGGAAAAAAAAGAACAGCACTAAAAATTGTCTCTATGAAAAGGATCCGGAGGGCCAGAACATATATTCCTAGAGTCCAATATAACGCATTTGATCCTTTATTCTTGACACTGCTATTGTGTGCTTTCTTAGTGTCATCCACAGCATATTCTTTCCCGGCCGCCTTTCCACTGAACCACAAAATGAGCAGGGGCACAGCTCCAATTCACAAGCATTTACAAGATACAAGTGTGAAGAAGAGCCTTGGAGCACAAAGGCTGGTATGAAAGTCATATAATCAGGTAATGGATTTACTACCTTGGCATTAAAAAATTAATTTTCAGGGGTTTCTAGGACTTATCTTTTCCCCTAACAAAGGTAAACAGTATGAAGGTAGTTAGGTTATTAGCACAGATGATCTTGAGCAGTCTCTTCAACTTCCTAAAAGACAGCTAAATGCAGCTGTCACCACTACGGGCTCTCCACTCCAGGTAGATTAAGTTTCATTTTCAGCCCTTAGGAAAAGAACATTCTCTCTTGGTGCATTAGATCAGTTGCTAGAGCTACTGCTGCTTACCCAGCCAACTGCAAACACACTAACTCAATATATTCATGATACAGACTGGTTTCACAGCATGAATAGTAGTGTCATCTCAGCAGCAGAGACTTGTAAGATAAATGGACAGCTAAAACAACTGCTTGGGATATTTCTGATAGCTCATCACTCCTACTTTCACCGAAGCATGGAAAGAGAAAAAGGCATGAAAGTAGATACCAGCTATTCAAGAAAAAGACATCCAAATACACTGCTCCAGCCCCAAAGAAGCTGGAAGACTTTTTTCTACCTACTGAGTATCAAGCCAGCCAGAGCAGAACTTAATTCTAGCCAGAGCTACCTTAGTTCGGAAAATACACGCATAAAGCATTGACGTTTCTGGCTTTTCCTCTAAGAATCAGAAGAGGAATCAGAACTGGCTACTGTAAAGTCTGAAGAGAGGAATAAAAAACAAACATCAAAAATCAAACCACAAGCAGAATGTTCCTTCTGCTTACACGACAGGGCAAGTTAAGACAAGGACAGCTCACGAGTCTAGTACTGGGAATGATGGATGCTCATATACTTGGTGACATCTTTCATCTCAACTGAGGTCAAAACTGAAATCTCTTTTCCTTCTCAGATAAATGCACTAATAATACCATTTTTTGACAAAGAAGAAATGAGACTAAGATACATTCTTATTTTTTTAATATGGAAGCAACAAATGGCAACTGGAATAAAAAAATCAAAGGCAAGCTTGCAGTTTCCTGAAAACATTCTACAAGCTAGTCTTCAGTCTGGTCAACCGAACTGTTGCAGCAGAAACTGAAATCTGAATTCCATCTAAGAAGCGATTCTCATATTGTAACACTTGAACTGAGTACCACCTTGCTCACAGCCGCGTAGGGAGGTAGCACTCCCTGGTCAGTGAAAGCCCCCTTCATGGAAACAGAGGCAATTCATGGCTTTATTTTGGTGCATGAGCAAAGTACATTTACAACCTCCTAGATAAAGTTATTAGGTATAGATCTTGGACAGAAAGCAAGAAGATATTTCATTTGGTGTCCTTCACTCCAGGTGGAGAGCATAAGCTCTTTTATATACTTAGCTCATGAAAAACTGTTTCACAGAATGCAAAAAATATTTGCAGCTTGTTTATCTGAAGCCTACATCACCTTGCAATATAATCTTAAAAACCTCAGTAAAATGAGCAGTTGCTAAGACACAAATCTCAGTTACCTCTGAAGTTACCCCTTTGTTTAGACTACGCCAACAAACCTCCATATTAACAGGTAAAAAAGGTCAAAACACTCAAGAGAAATTTAAACAAGTATTTGTACAGTTGTTCCTCAAACTTGGATTCTGGTTTGTTTGTTTTCTCAAGTACCTACATCTCTCAGGCTACAGTCCTCCAGGGAGGAATGCCTAAGACAGGACTCGATCAGGTATTTGCTAGTCTAACTCTAAGAAGGCAGGCAGAAGGATCTGTTGAAGATGCATGCTTCTCAAAATACTCTACTGGAGTAGCAACCGGAGAATGGACCACCACCTTCTGTTAACACCATCTGTCTTAAGGTTAAAGTTATATCACTAAGTTAATGAATGTTACATTGGTAGATATATTTCAAGAGCACTATTTCTGTTTAGAAGGAGTGGCAGAGGGATAAACAAGCTCAACAATACTCAATGTTATGCTTCTGTGCAGCTGAAGTTTTACCTGGAGCAGAAAAGAGGCTATTTGAAGAGTCTCCCACTGCCACCATGAAACTTAGTCCGAGAACTCTGAACGTTTCCAGCTACAACGGTTTCCCTCAAGAGAAGGAAACCAGTGTAAAAGAGTGTGCATTCAATGACATCATTGCTATTTTAAGGAACTGCTTTCACACATGATCTTCGTGGAGAAGTAATTTAGGATGAGACTGCTGACTGCCAATCTCACATAAGACATGCTTTGAGAGAGCAATAAACAAATTTGAGAGTTAAAAAAAGAAAAAAATCATTCTATATTGACTGGAATTATTCAATATTCTGCAACTACACTTCTGTTTTCCAAGCATGAGGCAAGATGATGTGCTCTTGACATCTCAATAATGGTAGCAGAAAATGTCAAAACCTAGCTTATGAAACTCATTACAACAATTTGCACTCTGAAGTGCTGGCAGTCTGCTTTCCCAGCAAACACTGGGTGTTTTGCCACTGTTCATTACAAACCTTCCTATGTCTTTAAAGCACTTCTTTTACAACTGTACTCGCTCAGCTTTTAGTATGGATGGGTCCAACTAAACTAGAAGTTCAATTACTTAGCCTGAAAGGAGACAGGCTCAGAACCAGGGATTCGGCTGGTTCCAGGGAAGAAACAATCAGACAAAAGAGATAAAGCTGCAGAACTACACTAAAGGTAGCAGCGTGATCCAAGAAGCAAAAGTCAGCATGAATATACTGCACTTCCTAAAGGTTGAAGAAGCACTCAGAGTAATCCAGTTTATTAGTATTTTCTTAGTTTAATCAAAGATAAGTGCAAATAAAGCAGATATTATGTTGTGTATAAAGCACAATACAGCAGGTATTTCTAGCTCCTAGGTGCATGACTAGATATAGGACCATTCCAGGAATGTCTACACTATTTTCCTTCCATGTCCATAGTTCAAATACCAGGATCTCAAGAGACAGTTCTTCAGCAGGCTGTCCCCAGTAACCTGCATTGTTTGTGTCAGATGGGGGAAAAACAGCAGGTAAAACAAGAGCAAACATAGGTTTTTGAAAAGCTGACGAGCTAGAGGGTATTCAAGAAAGTCAAGTAACTACACAAATAGGAGTCCTTTAGCAAAGACTCATCACCACTCTCAGGCACTTACTGCTATTAGATTAGTCATATTTACATTCCACTGCAGAAGCAGACACGAGCTTTGGAAAGTTTCTCCATTAGTCACGTGTATGGCAACACACCAAGAAAGGAGCCTTGTGATGAATCACCACAAACATAACTTTCTAACTTGAGCAACAGACTGCTTGCATTGTGTTTTTCTAAAAATGCTGTCACTCTCCTTCCTTCCCCAGCGTCCTGCAACCACAGGGTGTCACAGAGCCTGCATACTGCAGCTTGTCATCCAGTTGTAGGCCTATGGACCAGGTGACAGTGGTCAGCTTGTCCATGTCCCACTGCTGGATGTTATCTGCCACTCAGTGGCCAAACAACTTAGAATCGTAGAATATCTCAAGTTGGAAGGAACCCATAAAGATCATTGAGTCCAGCTCCCTGCTCCTTGCAGGACTACCTAAAACTAAACCATGTGACTAAGAGCATCATCCAGACACTCCTTGAACTCTGTCAGGCTTGGTGCCATGACCACTTCCCTGGGGAGCCTGTTCCAGCGACTGACGACCCTCTTGGTGAGGAACCTTTTCCTAATGTCCAACCTGAACTTCCCCTGATGCAGCTTCATTCCATCTCCTCGTGTCCTGTTGCTGGTCACCAGAGAGAGGAGATCAGCACCTTCCCCTCCGCTGCCCCCCTTGAGAAAGTTGTAGATGGCGATGAGGTCACCCCTCAGCCTTCTCTTCTCCAAGCTGAACAAACCAAATGACCTCAGTTGCTCCTCGTAAGTCTTGTCCTCCAGGCCTTTCACCATCTTTGCTCCCCTCCTCTGGACACATGTAATAGTTTAATAGAACTGTTTAGGTTGGAAAAGACCCTTAAGATTGTTGAGTCCAACCATCTGATGTCCTTATACTGAGGCACCCAAAACTGCACACAGTAGTCGAGGTGGAGATGCACCAGTGTAGGGTGGGACAATCACCTCCCTTGACTGGCTGGCTGTGCTGTGCTTGATGCGCCCCAGGACACGGCTGGCTCTTTTGGCTGCCAGGGCACACTGTTGACACATGTTCAACTTGCCATAACCCAAATCCCCAGGATCTCTTTCCGCAGGGCTCTCCAGCCTCTTGTCCCCCAATTTGTACATATAACCAGGATCATCCTATCCCAGGTGCAGAATCTGGCACTTGCTCTTGTTAAATTTCATATAGTTGGTGATTGCCCAGCTTGGGCTTGTCCTGTTGCCTAGCCACTCATTTTCATGAAATCTGCAAAAACCTTGAGCTCGAGGAGGCCTCTCATGTCTGTAGAGTTTACAGGAGGTTTGGCAGCCCTCTTGGGGAATGAGGATACTGGTAGCCACAAGGGCATAAATTCTTGGGCAACCAGGCAAAAAGCAGCTTCTACAACTTCCAGCAGGGAAACTGGATGTTATACTCCCATGTCTTGTACTTTTTCCCCTTGGGGAACAGAAAACCAGAGGAGCAGAAATATTCAACGCCTAAGCATAACAGAAGCTACAGGAAATACAGGAAGGCCAACACATTAAAACTTGTTCATGAAACACTTTAAATAACAGAGCAAAGTCATCACATCCCTTACAATTGCTTTTTAAGCTTACCAGCACTTGATTCCAATCCAGGTTTTACCCCATCAGCATTACTTACCTACAATAAAAGACTTCTACTGCTCAGCTCACATTCTGACAGTCATTTTCCAACATGTGCAGGACCAGCAATTTAATCACAAAAAGCCTTGGAGAAAGGTGAGTTGGTTTTCTATATCCTTCTGTAAGAACTGCCTTTCTAAAGTTTTAAACGGAGAACCTGGAACATGAAAACCACTCGCTGCGGGCGGAGGAATGTACTTAAAACTCCTCCTTTCAGCCAGGGCAGAGGTTTGCAGGCAAGATCCCTCTGCGTCAGGCAATGCAGATGGGATGTTTACTCCCACTGCCAAGCAGCAGTTTATAATTAGCCCTGCCTGGAGTCTCATGAAATTAAATCCTACACAGTTGGTTTCAAACCCTGTTACTCCTATAAGCACCCACCTATCATTGCTGCTTTTCAAGTTTAGTTTCTCTACAGAGCCAGAGAGGAAAAAAAAGCTTTGCATAAAGTTCTGTTCAGAAGAATGAAGCCCCTTCCTACCTAAAATAAGTATGACGCGAACACAAATAACAACTGTAAATCAGCCCAAAAAACCCAAAGATAATTTTTACATCTGGGGAGTGTCTGCTTTCTGCACATCTGAATTGTTCACTAATGTATCTGATGGGAATGAAGTCAGCTAAGCCTCTGCTGCAACCAATAAAAAGATTTATTTCTTTTCCAAAAAGATGAATGACTACCCTAATATGATCATATTTATTTTTTTACAGTGATCCAAAAGCTATTTCCCTGAAAAGTTACTTTATTTGCACCAATCTTGAAAATATAGTACAGAAAAAGTTAGGAAATTATGTGGCCTGATGTTTTTCTGATCTGACTGCTAGAAAATAGTTTTAGACCAATCTGTGATTTATTTTAATATTTGAATTACTAAGTATTGCTTCCAACCAAAAATGGCAATTTAACATTTTAAATAAACAGGGAAAAAAGCCTACAAGGTCACCTTTTGACTCAAAATGACTTAACTAACTGTAGTCAGGTGAGGGTTTTTTAACAGAACGTGGTAAAACAGGCCATTTACTGGAGAAGGAAAAAAACCCATATTTTGAAGCATAGTTTGGGGAATTCTGCTTATCTAAAAGTTTCCCATGCACTGGGCAACTTTTGTTGCCCCTTTGAGCAGTAGAAAGTAGGAAAATACATTAGCTATAAGCAGAGTTTTCTGGGGAGGAAATAAGAGGAATCTGGATAGGAATAAGAGGACAGAATGAATCTAAATCTGTAGAAAGCATACAGAAGAATCAGGTCAACCACAAAGCTAGAGAATTAATACAATGGCAAAAGTCCTGCCAAATGCTGAGCTGCTTATACAGAAATGAGAAGGGGTAAAAGAGAACTACACAATAGTTACAAAAGGTCTAAGAACTCCTGTGAGACTCTTCAATCAAGTTATGAAGATAAATATTTGGCATCTTAATCACAACCTGCCCAGCGACAAGTTGTATACCACAGTCTGGTTGCTTTCTTAGAGTTCGTCATTCTGCACGTCCATAACCATATGATCATTTTCTCTCCAAGCAGTGCTTTGGATGCTTGGTGATTCTCTTCTGGTTACAACCCTTGCTGGCAAACCAACATCAAACATCAAACAGCAGAGCCACAGGTCCCAGATCTCCTCCTCAAGCATAAAAGAGCTTCCAAAGCACTTGTCACTAACAGCAGCTTGGAAAGAGCTAAAGTATTTTCTGTGCTTCAGGGAAAGTTGTTTCTTGCAGAGAGTATCTCCCCCACATATTCAAAATATTGAAAACCTGGCCGACCATGGTCCTGGGCAACCTGCAGTGGCTGACCCTGCTGGAGCAGGTGGTGGGACTGGAAGGTCTCCAGAGGTGTCCTCCAGCCTCAGCACCCTGTGGTTCTGTGACTTGGGCCAGTTCTAGTGACTGGACTAAATTCTTTGTGCTACAAAATGCATATAACTGCAGATAAGATAAATAAGTCTGTCCCTTTGCAATTCTTTTTACAGATGCAAACTGAAATACACTGCTGTGTCTCATGAAGTTTCTAAGTGAAAACCTAAGCTACATTCACAAAGGCTGTTAGAACATTTGCGTGACAGAGCATGGCACTTTGCATCATGAAACGACAAATTTAGGGGCACTCAGATAGGAAGCGGGAAGACACGAAAAGGGGTTTGCAAAAAGGGTTGGGTTTTTTCCTGAATCAAAAAGGATGGGAAAATTTTGAAAAAATGGTGTGCTTTAATAAAGGTGCTGAATTCAGACAGCAACAACAAAAAAAAACAGATTGGAGATATTTATTTGTTTTTTGCTCATTTCTTCTCACCTGTAACTTCAGGAGGGACTGACGATGCTTCAAGACTGCAAATGCCATATACACTATGCTCATTGCTATGTCACCTAAGTACTTGACCTTACCAAGCATAAATGCATTACTAAAATTAGTGAGTGTTTTAATAAAGTATTTTCTAAAAAGCAAATGCTAAGCTTGCTCTCGTGTAAATTCAGGGACTAAGGCAAAATACAGCTGGCAGACTGAAGCAGAGTCTTGTCTGCATTCAAGTGCAGCACACCCTTGATGAAGGTGCTGCAGGTGTTGGATTAAATATTGCCTACCTGTACATTATTTAAAGCCTGCATGTCAGTACTTGTACCTGCAAGTGCTAGGCACATTGAAATTTTCAAACTTCTGGGTAACTGCTCTTGAGTTTTGGTACTCTTCCTCATAGCGGTAGCCCTAAACCACAGAGGCATCACTCTGTGCATTAAGCTTGAAGATACTTGATGTCAGCAAGCTGGTTTCCGGCTGTGCAGTGTCACTCACAGCTGGGGCCACCACTGCCACTGCCTTCTCTTGCTTCAACACAGCACCTATAGAAGCCAAGCTCTTTCCTTCTGCCCCTGGGGTTGGCAAGGAGCACCCCCTGCCCCTCAGATCTCACCAAGATCCAGCAGGCAGTGTGCACCTACTTCACATTCAGCCACTTTGGAAATGCTGTCTTGGCATAAGAAATGTCAGTAGTTAATTTTTATAAGCCTAAGAAACCAAAATCCTTTAACTACATGTTGTTCACAGTCTACAGCTTCAAAGTTTAAGCTGCTTGATAGACAGGACTTTAAGCTTTCACAAAGCTGACAAGCCTTGCAGCTACTACTCACATAGCCTAAATTTCCATGACCAGGTGCATTCTCACCACAAGGCTCACATTTACTCTTGTTATGAAAGTTCCCTTCCCTAACTATTATTATATCAATCAGTCTTTATAGTATGAAAGTGTATTAACTTTGTTAATATATATTAGTTCACATTATACATTGCAATGTAGTGAGGTAGTGGAATTTTACTGGAGACTTTGGTATTGTTCATGCTTAAGTCAAAGAAACCCAAGGATAGCTCAGCCCTGTAAATAAAGACTTTATTTCTTGGAAGCTTAGAGCTGTCCATGAAGGATAAAGGATACCCCTGGACAACCAAGATAATGCCAGCATCGTAGCCCCTCTAACACCTCTTTGAAACCCTCCCAGCATTGGCCGGCATCATAGGTAAGTAAATACAGCAAGACTGACTCTAGGCATGTGTGGATCAATAGACAAGCAGCAAGAATGCTGCAGAAATATAGTTGCTTTGCAAAGTTTTACTATGATTAATCAGTAATGTGGGTGTTAGTGATGAGTCAAATTATGTTGTACCTGAACATTTCAAGGGTGTAAAAACCCTGTGTAAAACCACATCCAGGGTGCCCCAATTTGCTTATTCACCCTTGTAATTCTTTATTTTGGTCCTAGCCTCTCGCTAGCAGACATCTAGCAATAGCAATAGTCAGCAGTTCTTGGCAAGAACTTTTCTGCAGTTGACCAACATCTGTGAAACTCTTGCTCTGTAGCAAATACTTCAAAACAGTGGGCATGTCACAAGCAGTCAAAACTATACTTTGAAAACTCTGGAGCAATATACACACTGATGGCACTGAGACGGACACCAGAGGAGATGGTGGGGCTCGGAAGGGGTGTCCATTCAAGGCCCCTTGAACACTCAGTCTTCTCACAAACAGATTCATGAATGTTAAGCTTCACTGGGATAACAATCCAAATCACAGCCAGCACCAAAAATTAACAGTTAAATACACTGGAAAGACTACAATGGCCGTTAATCAAAAGGTTAGTCTCGAATTTAAGAAACCTGT